GTAATCTGTAGAATTATTCTATTTTGGGGAAATGAAATTATCAATCCCGGATCTTGTTGCTGTCACAAATTCGTTTTTTTTCCTTCTTCTGGGGATTTCTTCTGAGTTTGGGTGATTACAGATGAAATTGAAACCGGTTTGATCCTTTTTTACTCACAATTCAGTGGAAATGTTTGGTTTCTTTCTCTCAATCTCTAGGTTTATCGAATGGTTTACTTTTGGTTCATGGATCGGTTTGCTGGATAATTGTTCTTCTGAACCCATTTTCTTGTAGAGTTTCTGATTTTCTTCATCACACTATGTTTCTTGATATATGATTATGTATGTAGCTTTACTGTTTCTGTGACTATTATCCTACTAATTGTTTGTTCTGTGCTTGTCATTGCAGTATATAAACTTAGCTTGTGTTTGGTGTTTGGTCTTTTGTTATATAGGTCGGAAAAAAATGGGAGCTTTGAAACTTTCCGGGATGCAAAAGCAAGTCTTGAGTCTATACAGAGGATTTTTAAGAGCAGCTCGTTTAAAGCCAATAGAAGATAGGAAGAGAATAGAGATGATTGTGTCAACAGAGTTTCGCCGCAACTCAAAGGAAGTTGACCGTAAGAATTTCCAATACATCGAGTATTTGCTTCGGTTAGGTAATAAACAACTCGATCAACTCAAAAGCCCCGATATGGTTAGCATTTCTTCGATGAAGGTCGTGAAAGCTAAGACCTGATCAATTTGTTTTAGTGAGTCTCAGTCTTAATTAGCTTGTTGCTCTAGTGATCATTAGATAACAAAGCGAGGAAATTTGATTCGTTTTCCTCAGATCATGATCACAATCGGGATATATATATACACAAAGTACTTGAGAATCTTTGAGATTGCAAACATTCAAGTACTTGAGAATAAATGTATTGGATTTCTTCAGTTTTAAGAATAAAGTAGTGTAGTGATTGATACATGTTTGCTTGTGAATTTACTAAGCAACTACGCATTGAAAGTAAGTATTGGAAAATAGAAAAAGAAGGTAGGAAATAGTTTATGAAAAGGCAATTTGCACAAGATCATAAAAAAAGGTAGCAAGAACCAATCCACAATTACACAAAAGGGAAAAAAAAGACCCAAAAGAGACATAAGAGTAGAGAAACAGAAAATTTAATGAGTAGGAGAAAGCTCAAAAGTTGTAGACACAAGTTCCATCGTCACTTCTAGCCGTTGGATCAAAGTTTTGAGCCACAGGATCAGTACACCCTTCAGGAACAGGCAGGTTTACTTGCTGGGCTGCTTTTCCTGCAAGACAAGTTACCCTAATTTCAAAAACCCTAATTCCATTTCTCTTCTTTGATAGATTCATATCCAATTAATTCAGTCTGTTGGCTAACCAACCGAACCAAAACACAAAAACAGAAGAGATCAAACCTCGGTTTTACCGTAGAAAGTTCCGCGGTTGATAGAATCTGCGTTTGCGTCTCCTAACGCAGCCTCACTGAGGTATTGGTCAGCAAGTTGGACTCTCTTGACATTCTCTTGTTCCATCACAAGCATGCTTCCATACTCCATAAGCTTATGAAGAGTCATCTCGGGTTGCTCGAACACGGGAGGTCCTTCCCTCGAGTTCACCAGCCTCTTTCCGATCTTCTCAACTCCAAGTCCTTCAACGAACTTCCTCACTTCATCATCGTACACTCTCGCCCTCAATGCACCAAAGAAATCTGTCCAAAACAAAACTCAATCACAATCTGCAAGAATTATATACAAACTCTCAAAGAAGGGTACTCAGGTTCTTTATTACCGATGGATTGACCAGGGAATTGATCAACAAGAGTAACAATGTCCTCGTCCTTGACATTGTCAGTCCTGAAGATACCTTTGCAGACACCGATACGGTCTTCACGGGTCGGGGCCCAGTAGAACTTCTCCATACGTCCGTCACGGATGAGAGGAGCGTAGAGAGTGGAGAAATCGTTACCCGTGACGATGATGGGAACACGAGCGTTCTCTTCCTTGTTGTACATTCCTGGTAGCTGGACATTGGTTGGGTTGTCAGCAATGTTCATGAGCGTTGCGTTAACCATCTGGTTGTTGACAGTGTACTGAGTTGTACCACCCATACGACCCGCACCAGCATCAAGATCGTTGATGAAGAGACAACACATCTTTCCTTTCTTGATCATGTCTGCTGCTTCACGGTACCTTTGACGGATAAGCTTGGCTGGTTCTCCTGCGTTTCCACTCTCAAGCTCTCCAGCACTCATCATGATTGGGCTGCAAAAAAGATTCAAACTTTGTTAGGAAATTGTTGATTTCGATTCGAACCCGTTATAGATGGAGATCAGAAAATGGACTCACTTGATACCCATCTTGGCCATAACAAGCTCACATTGGAAGGATTTACCTTGACCTTTGCCTCCCCAAATACCCAAAATAAGTGGAACCTATAAAAAAGAAAACACAGAGCATTTCAAGATTTGATGTGTAATAAAGCTTAAAATTGCATCTAAAGAAACTTTGATTAGTAGTACCTTGATGTTAGGCAAATTCAAGAAGTTCTTGGTGATGTGAACAACAAGTTTGTCCATGAAAGCAGGAGCAATGTACAAACCATCAATCATGTTGTCCAAGTTGTAACTATATCAACAAGAAACAGAACAATTTATTGATTCCGCTTTTAAAACCACTTAGATTCTAGATCTACTAGCTAATAAGAGAGAGATGGAAACTTACGTCCTAAGGCCTTGGCTAATGTACTCATATGAGCTTAAGACAGCATGGTGAGTTCCGGTTCCCATAGGAGCTTGGAAGACTGAGTCAACCATACCTTTGCCTCTGGTAATGTCTTGTTGATCATCAGATGTGTCGAAGGCAAGTCCTTTCCATCTGTCTCCATCGGTTTGTTTGTCTTCTTTCACAGCCAATACCTTGAATGATCCGTTGCTCTTCTTGTTGTTCTGCGCGAATCTCGATGCTGTTACAACTTTCTTTCCCAAGAAAGTTGTAGCTGGGACTGATGCAGCTCCTGCTCCTGACCCATTCAAGCTCAACTGCAACACAAATTTGGTTCATATGGTTCAAGAACCGGTTTAGAAACTAAACGATAAAATCGGGGATCGAACAGAAGTAAACCGAAAAAAATGATCTGAAAAAGTAAACCAAACTTTAATTTTGTTTCATATAATTCAAGATTATAGACTATTCCTCAAGATTTGTTACCGTTTGAAAACGTTACACTATGCTAAAATGATTACTATACACTTTCTAAACTATAAGAACCGAAAATCGAAAACCGGTTTGAACAAAATCTACTAATGTTTAGTTCCCAAAGTAGAGAATAAAAGAAGTATCAAAAGTACGTATCTCTAGATTCTAACGACATATGTAACACACAGAATCTCAAAATCAAAGCTACTCAACTGGAGAAACAAAAGTGTTAAAAGTTGTAACATTCAACCACTAATGAAAGAGTGAAGTTTACCGGAGCTCTGTTGATGGCACCGACGGTGGAAACTGCGGCGGCCATATGTCACGACGGCGACGAAAGTGCTTGACACAAGAAGCTGA